AATCTAAAAGGTCTTCCCTGGTAAGTCTTATCTTGTTGCTGTAGGAGGTATCCAGCTCTATAATACTGTTATAGATACCAGAAAAGGGAACCTTTTCATCCAAGAAATATTTATTAAGTACCTACTACATACCATGTTCCGACTGGTGCCCTTAGACATGGAGACACAGAGAACAAATCAGATGAATCCTCTTTAGCTGATCTACTTCTCTCAAGTTCCAAATCCTAAAACACAATGAATATCCATCAAGCTTTGAGGAGAGCTCATCTGTGAAACTAGCAAATGTTCAGGAAAACTGTGCTTTTAAAATTTACAAACTTGAGGAGATAAAAATGTCTCAAAAACATATAAGAAGCATATCTAACATCATTTGATAATGCTGATGTGTGTACGGTTGACCAGAAATGTTACAGGAACACACTGATGTGAAACACAGAAGAAATAAATTTTGGAAATGTTTTTATAGTTATAATAGCTTGCATTTATTGAGCACTTACTACTTGCTGGGAACTTTTCTAAGACACATGTGTTAACTCACTTGATTCTCACAAAACACTGCAAGAAAGCTATTACTATTTTCTTTATTTATATCATGCCCAGAGAGATTAAATAATTACCCAAGATCATACAGTAACAACTGACAAAGCTGGTTACTTCATCATCCACTATATTGCCTCGTGGTATTCTTACAAGTCCTGGCTATTAGCATATAGTCTGGTGCCAGAAGGTTCTCTAACCTGTGCCAATGGTGACTGTGCCATGCTCCCCAGAGGTGAAGTATTAGATTGAATCTTTCAATCAGTATTAGATTGAAAGAGTGAGGTATGGTCATCCATGCCTACCTTTCACCACAAATCCTCACTAGCAGTCAGCCTCCCTCTTCCAGTGGTGACCATCCACTCACTGGTGACTACTAGACCTTGACAGTATGCCAGGGTCAGGTGCACACAGGGCAATGCTGCAGAAGCACCTGTGATGGCCACAAGTGTCATGGCTCCTGGTCCCAACTCCACCCCACCAGCTGCTGTGTGGCTTTGTGTAATGTCCCTACATCAATCTGAGCTTTGGTGTTTGACAAGGCGACCCTCTCCTTCTCTGCTGCTCTATTGAGCTCTAGGGTTAGAGCAGGGAAGCTGGAGGCAGCCCAGTCCAGAATGCAAGACTCTGCCCACTAAAGAGTCCAATTTCAGCCACTCTGCCAAAAGCTACAGCTGCACTAAAACCACAATTGCACTGCCACTGGGCCCAGGCTCAGAGTGAGGGGTGGGAACATAAGCAAGCTCAGAGGTTAAACCCATGACCTGGACATTTCTCTTCTCACATTCACACACCACAGACAGACTAGAGAGGACTCAAACTGAGAAAATTCCTTTATCTTCCAAATTCTTTTTTCCTAGTTTGTTAGAGCAGCCAAGGGTGAGGTGGGGCTTCTGTGAATAACAAGCTCTGCTTCATTTTCTTCACACAGGAGAACATGGCAAAGCGAGTTGCAATCGTGGGAGCTGGAGTCTGTGGCCTGGCCTCCATCAAGTGCTGCCTGGAGGAAGGACTGGAGCCCACCTGCTTTGAGAGGAGTGACGACCTGGGGGGACTATGGAGATTCACTGTAAGTAGGGTTTCAATTGCTTTTATTTGTCTACTGGAGAATGGCTTGGCTGATGTAAAAAGAGACCTGTATTTCTTCCACAAGGGCTGGTTGCCCTGGAAAATGCTAGAAGGATCTGCTGAATGGAGGCTAGGAAAAGCCACTGAAATTGCAAGGTATAGAAACAGGGCACAAGCTGAGCTTTAGGGGAAACTATCAGCAGCCTTACAAACTTTACCCAGGGTCAAGAAAAACAAATGTTCCAAAGAAGCCCATGAAGTATAGAAGAGAATGGAATGACTGGGGCAGACCAGCAAGGCTCAGGACCAGGGGAACAGAACCAGAAGTTCTGTACAGGACAGAAGTATATGGGGTCTGAAGGATCAGAGTCTGTGTGGCATTTTGGGTAATAGCAAGAATTTCAACCTCTGTCTGCACGACTTTGCTGCTTTTACTCACATCTTTTCCTGACCCTGTTCCATCCACATCAAGGTGGCATAGGGCTCAGTGTAGGATGAGTTCCATAATCAAGATCCCGCTGTCTAAGTAATGCCAGTCCATGCTGCAAGTAGTCAGAAGTGAAGAATGAATTTAGAGTCTTTTGTGTTCCCTGAGCAAAAGAGAAACTAATATTCTCAACTCTCAGCTGGATTTCTGTCTGGATAGGGGAAGGGATACTGGGTCTAGATCCTGAACAATCACAATGGCCCTGTTTTGGGCCAGTGAAACCCTAAAGCCAGACAGAGAACATGTTCTGTGAGCTCCAGGGCTCAGCCTGGGGAGAATTTGTATAAGATCTCTACAAAGCTTTTATTTTTACGCTTTCAAGGATGAAACTTTTCCCTTGAACTTTCATTATGTTAAAGAGAAAGCTATCAGGAATAGTGAAAAGGAGCAGGGTGTCAGATAGCCTAGTCTCAGATTCCTGAGAAGCAAAGAGAAAGACTGAGCATTGCTCCATTATAGACGGATGGAATTCAGAACTGGAGTAGAATAATGATTTTCTAATTCAGTGAGCAAATCTTCAGGGACTCTAGCATTGCTAGTTTAGTCACAGTTTTCCTGCATAGGCCAGTTTGGCTCATATAAAGAATTGCATATTTTCAATATCCCCAACCACCAAATGTGACCATCAATGCATGGAGACCTTCCAAAGGGTACAAGATAAAAGAGCACATCTGTTCCCATGGTTCAAACTGCATATGTTCTGATAGGATGACAGAACCCTGAGACCTGTTCCAAAACTCTCCTCTCAGTGCTCATTGAAGACATTACTATGCAAGAAATTGATCTTTCCCAAGATGAGTCTCAGATTCCTTCTTAACACTATATGCCAGATAAGTACATTGAAATCAATAAGAGTTGGAAGCTGGATTACAAGATGAAACTACCTAATTAAATTTGGTGATTTGTTTGTCAAAGATAATCTCACTGAAAACAAAAAGTGAGTCCAAAGACCAAAGGCTATACCTAGCTTCTTAGGACACCAAACAAAAATGCTTATTTAGGTCACAGACACCTAATTATTAACACTAAAACTCACTGGTCTAAGAATCAAGAGATACATGTCTAGATCAAGCTGTGCCTCACTAACTTGTGACTTGGGCAGATCAAACACCTATGCAGAAAGCACTATAGGGGACCTAAAAATGAGAAGGATTTTCCCTGCCCTGGGGATCTGTTAAGCAGATGGAAAAAGACTAAGAACTTGCAAGTCAGAAGCAGTGCTATGGGCATTAAAACGCAGACAGAATTATAGCGACTGGTGGGAAGCAAGGGAAGGCTTCATGGAAAAGAAAGTCTATGGAAGTCTTTTGAAGCATTTCAACAGGAAAAAAAGACTCAGCAGAACATAACAGGGAGGGAACTAGTAAAGAAAAAGTGCCAGGCATTCCATAAACTAAGAACAGGTTACTGGTGCATGTGGCAGATGTAAGAGAATTAACTGTAGGTGCAAGTGGAAGGGTTAGCACTGGAAAGTGAGAGAGACAAGATACACCTTCTCCCAAGAGTGGAGGGAAGGGAAAGTGAGCACGGGAGAAATTGTGAAGGTGAGAAGAGAGAGGATGCAAGAGCACACTCTCCTTCCAGAGGCCTCAGTTCTTCTGGAAAACGTGGCAGCTATGGAGTGTGAAGAGGACACAGGGAAGGTAAATGGAGTTGGAGAATTACAAAAATAGACAAGGTCATGAAAACATTTTGTGGAGAATATGAGAGACTGTCAGAAAGATGACTAAGGGTATTATCAAGCAGTGGCCAAGTAAAATGGCATCCAATTAATAAGCCATTCCACTTCTGTCACCTCATTTATAAAATGAAAAGACAAGGCCAGTTTGTAAAACAGATAAATGTTGAATCCTAGAGGCCTAAAAGTAGAGAAACCCACCCCTACCTTAATTTAGCAGCCCTCTCTTGATACAGTACCCTCTTAGGGTACCTCTGTAATACCTTGAGATTCTCCTAAAACTAATTGGAAATCTGCAAACTAGGTGACCTTGCAGATGCCTTCCAGCTCCAATATGCTGTCTCCTGAATCTTTCTGGAGACACCTTTTCCCTCTTCACACACACACACACACACACACACACACACACACACACACACACGATCATTTCACATTGTCTTGGCACTCAAAATAGGCAGCCAATTCAAAACCTGCAGAACGAAAGAGCCTGCACGACTGTACTTGACAGAAGCTGTATATACAAAGCACTATCCTTAGTGCCCATTTAGGCAGAAGGGACCATCATGCAAGAAAACAGAGGCAAAGGCAGAAGTTCAATAAAACATATGGAGAATAGTTTCCATTTCCAAACAGGAAGAGGACCCAAAGATTATAGAGATTTTAAATTCTCGCACTTAACTGGCTACTACCAAGGGCATGTTTCTTGTCCTCCCAGCTCCCACAGGAGACATAGGTGGCAATGGAGAAGCAGTCACAGTGGATTTGGGGCAGGGGAGAAATGGCAATCATTAAAAAGAAAAAAGCTACATTGATAAAACACCACTTCTGTCCATTAGCACGCTCAAGAGGAGGTAGGAACTGTATGGAGCACCTGTGCCACAACCTGCCTTCTCAGACCCAAGAGGAGAGGGAGGAGAAGGTAGGATGGTAACGCTGTAGGTCACATGCATCCTTTTATTTATTCTACAAACATATACTGACCTTCTGCCATGTGCCTTGCACAGCATGTTCTCTCACTTTCAGTGAGGGTATTGGAGTGTAAAAATATTTCACCCCTTTAAATCATTGAGGAATTGTTCCTCGGCTATTTCTTCCTTATGTTTAGTAAACCCAATTCCTACAAACTTTCTTTAAAAGCTTTATTTCTAAAACTTCAATAATCTTGGTAGGTTTCATTTTATTCATATCTTCAATAAACATTTATTGAATTTCTACTATACATCCATGAGGAGACTTCATGTTCTTGGGGTTCCTTGAACTTTCTCTGAGGAACCCACAACTCTCCTGTGATACAGATCCAAGAGGGTCTGCCTCACCACGGAGAAGGGGCAACAAAGAGGGTGCTGGCTGTTCTCTTTCTTTATATTTTTAGAGGGGTGCAAGGGACTCAAACCCAGGGCATTGCACATGCGAGGCAAGCATTCTTCCTCTGGTTATATCCCAAGCCCTCTGGCTATTCTAATGAAAGGAAATAATTACTCTTGAAGAACATGAGGTGTGAATATTGTGCATGGAGAAGAGGTCTCTAGTTGAGAATTTTACTGCCATTTTATATGTTTTTAAGATGAGAAAGGAAAGACCTTTGACTTGACAACACTTTCTTCCCAGTGCCAACAGTTTTCCCCAAAACATGCAAATCTCAAGAAAGTAAATCTCCTTAGAGGTTACAGACAATAGTTAATCTTTACTGAAAGCTTCCCAGACACTGTTCTGAATGCATTACAGTTATTATTTTGATTTATCCTAGGGGGTATGTGCTCTTATTGTTCCTACATATAGATCAGGAAAAATGAGAAAGAGAGAAGGTAAGAAAATTCCAAAATCACCCAGTAAAAATGTAGAGCTTGAATATGGAGGTGGGCTGTCTGACTCTGACAGCTGTGCTGTTATGATCTACACTTCATGCATTTTCAGAGTTTGGTTCATAGCTTCAGACAAACCTGGACTGTGGCACACAGAGTCCTACTAAGTGTTGTAGTGGGTCACAGTGGCATTCTCACTGTGCTGCAATATCAAAGTGGACCAGAAAGCCAGAAACCCCACCATTCATGCTCCTATTATTTTCCCGTTCTCCACAGACCATCTCTTCCCTTCACCCCTCACTTATTTCCCCCTTCCTGAACATGTCCTCTAAATGCTCACACACACCCCCATCAATTCTCAGAGGGCATGTGCTCCCACACTAGAAGCACCAGGGCAATTGGCAGACCCACACAGAGGCAGTGCCAGGAGTGTCGGCAGCTGAAAGGGGTTGGGGGAGAGGTCCCAAGGACCTGGGAATCACTGGGGCAGATCTGAGGCAAACACTGAAGGGGAGGAACCCAGACCAACAAGTACCATTTAGAAGTCACATGAACCATGCTCACTGTGTATGTGCTAAATACTCCAGACCTTGTATTTTTCCAGGACAAACAATCAATGAAGGAAAGAGAAGAGAGCAGAGTTCAAGTCTTTGATTCCACCCTAGGGACTAAGTTTTCTTTGTAAGCTAACAGTTTCTCCACTCTGTTAACATCTGTGATACATTATTTCACTACAGGCTTCAGTGTTTCATGGAAGCTTTTCCTCTTCCTGCCTCTACAATTATTTTCCTGAGTTTTACAAAACAGAGAGATTTTCACTTCTATTATTGTTTATTCAGTTTATTCATTTTCTTTAAGATGGCTCCCTGAATTATCGAGTTCCAATAATTCCCCATTACTCTGACATTTAAACATGCCATTAAAAATGCTTGAAATTTTTGAACCATTTTTGTGGAAATCTCTACAATGTGTATTATAATACCTGAACCTTCTGCAGGTAAGGAGAGAGAGAGAGTCAAGTTTGGCCTTACTAAAATTTGGCTAGAGCCAGAGAAACATGAGGAAAATTTGGCCTTACCCTAAATGTTTACAACTGATGTTTTATATCCCAGCCCAATAAGATTTTGAATGTGACAACTAATCTTGTTGCTTCCTTATCACTGAACCTAATATGGGTAGGATGAGTGACGATGCTTTTTTTCAAGGGATAATGTAAACCTAAACATTTTCTAAGTATTACTTAATAGTATTCAAAGTACAGAAAGAAGGCTTACAGAGATATGTTCGCTGAAATGGAAGAAGAGATCTTAAAGCAATCTCAGCAAGTTCAAGGCATTATTTTTTAAAACTGCTATTCAAAATGAAGTAAGTGGTACTGTATTGTTTTAAAATATATATTGGATCCTTTATCAGTAGCCAGTTCAAACAACTTATCATATAAGGTTATGGTTAGATGTATTATCTTTCAATGAAATAAATTGATTCCAGAGTTTATGTACTTTTGGATAACAGTTTTCAAACTAAGTTTAAACATTGCACATTGTAATGCAGCTCTTCTGCATGTGATTAGTGCACAGCTCAAATCCATGCAACTCATCAACAAGTTCGACAAAACCAAGACTGATCTATGTCCTGGGCAACAAAAAGAAGTCCACATGCTTGAATGTTGAGCAATGCCAAGTTACTGGTGTAAAATGTTCTCTATGCTGACTCCCAATTTCTGCATTTATCTTGTCACAGACTGTTAACAACCAATTCAGATTGGTACTGCTCCACAAACTACATTTGATTAGCACTCCTCTAGCTATTCCAGCAGAATTTAAAAATCAACATTTAAACTGCCATCTTTCTCAGAAGCCTTTTAGCTTCTAGTTTCTAGCTATATTCTGGATAAGTGAGGCTGTCTGAGGTGGTATCACAGATAAGCAGATTATAGTGTCAACTCATATCACTTGATGAGATCAGTAGCTTTAATTTAAACCAATAACATTGATTTTAAATTATACTTACAATGTTATCCTCTATGATTGCTGTGTATGTCACATAGATCTAGATTCATACCCTTTAGGGGAACCGAGTGAACCCTCTCTATATGTGAAGTTTATGTTCATGTTTCCACTTGTTCACATAAACAAAATAATTTTAATTTCAATGGAAAAAGAAACTACGCATATCCAAGATGATAAATAATATTAAAACATTAATGACTTTCTCATTGAAATCAGGGGCACACCACTCCAGAGGAGCTAATATAGAAACCTTAAAGCAACAGAGGTTATCATGAGAAGGGGATCAGTAACCAGTGTAAATATCAGTTAGAGATGAATTAACATGGGTCATAAAACATGTGTACAAGAAAACAATGCTAGGAATATTTCTATATAGCTATCCTCAACTCAACTAGCAAAAACACTTCGTTTTCCTTACTAGGCTTGTATCTTTTCTTCAACAAAATTAGTGATAAAGGCAGAACAAGACCTGCCTGGAACTGAGGGGGGGAGGAGGGAGGAGAGTGGGTGAGGGGAGCAGGGGGGAGAAATGACCCAAACAATGTATGCACATGTGAATAAATGAATAATTTAAAAAAAAAAAAGAAATCAGGGGCACAGTCCTCCAAGACAGAGGCCATGTATGTAAAGACATTACTAAAACTTATTATTCAACCTTGTGGTAGTCCTATGAGATACTGGTGTTTACTAGTTATTCAAGTCAAAACTAGGAGTAGGAAATTGGTTAGTGTGTGCCATGCACATAGTTGTCCAATTTGGAAACTATTGACCTATTTCTTTTCCCAGTCCTCAAATCTAATTAGTCTTGCAATCCTATGCATTCTATCTTTCTACCATCTCATAAATCCAAACTCTCTGGGTTCCAACTGCCATTTTCTCCACTTTCTTCCTCATTAGCAACCAAATAGATTTGTATTTAATGCTCTTAACCAGATTCCTTTCTTTTTTTTTCTAGCCCCCTCTAATTTATCTTTTGTAGAACCAGAATTATCTTTCCAAAATGTAGTATGAATTGCATCCATGTTTAAAACATTCAGTAGACTGCCATGACTTTTCTGTGAAAAACAATCCAAATGGTTGAACTTTGTATAAAGCTTTCATAACTTGAAACTTGCTTCTCCATAATCATTCCAACAATATTCCATGAAACCAAAGTGCCTTGCAAGCATTTATCATCGAAAAACTGCTTCCAAGTTCTCGTCTATGTATTTCCGTATTTTCCTATACTTTGCAGTGATACTGCATGAAAATGGACAGGTGAATTTATCCCAGGATTGTTTGTTACCATGTAATGAAGGAAATAGTTCTGGTCATGCAATTTATGTTGGGGCCCAAGTTTCTTCGTTTCCCAAATGAAAATAGCAAATCCCATTAGAAAGGTGGCAAGTAGAATATAACATCTGGATCACCTTAATCATGGTCAATGTTTGATATTTCAAAAATCTTAACATCTATTTTGTGAGGAGTTGGGGGGAGCATGCATGCATGCATGCTCATGAGTGTGCACTGTTTTACAGGAACATGTTGAAGAAGGTAGAGCCAGTCTCTACCAGTCTGTGATTTCCAACAGCAGCAAGGAGATGTCTTGTTACTCAGATTTTCCATTCCCAGAAGATTATCCAAACTATGTGCCAAATTCTCTATTCCTGGAATATCTCAAAATGTATGCAAAACAGTTTGATCTTCTGAAATGCATTCAATTTAAGGTGAGACATAAAATATCAACTAGTAGTCAGGAAGCATTCTCCTATTTTCTATTACCTCTCTGTACATAGCCCTAGGTTCTGTAGATGAGATATTGAACTGGCAAGATTAATGATACCTTTTCTAAAAGATAGAGTTGGTAATGGAAGTGTAGAAACCCAATAGGAACTTTGAATATTGTAAACCAATCAGGGAACCCATTAGGAGGAACTTGAAAAATCCATCTTCCTTGAAATTTTTGAAAAGGAAGGAGAGGTAGCAATGCTTCTTGGTTTAGTGGATAAATTTTTGCTTTCAGTTTTTTCTTATATTATTTTTTAATATAAAAATATTTCTTGGAGATGGGGCAGTGTTTGCCTTGCTTGCACAAAACTCTGGTTTTGATCACCAAAAAAAAATATATTTCCTGAATCAGAACCTCGTACTCATGGACATATATTCTCGGTGCAAAATATAGATTACTTAAACTTTGGACTATTCCCAAAATATTCAGGCTATAATGTTAGCACTTTTCAATAGCTCCCTAGATCTAGGAAAACTTCAGCAGCATATTCTATAAGACTTTTCATAAGCTAAGATACTTGGGACCAAATTTATGTTTTCAATGATAGATAATCCATGTCTCTATCAGAGTAACTATTGTTCAAGAAAGAGCTCTATGAAAAATAAGGTTTCATAACAAAAAAATAACAATAAGAGACATCAGAAACCTAGTTTATAATCTTGGTTCTAACACTTACCATGAGAATTTGAGCAAATCACTTAAAATCTATGAATGCTGCTACCACTTCTCTTTGATGCCCCTCCATAACTCCAAGCTTAGAAAACTTCCATCTAAAAAATCATGGTTAGTCTGTAGTCTGACTAAAAGTCTAAGATCATGCTTACTAATTATGCTTTACTAATTAGAACTTTAAAAAAATCAACTGGCAAATCAGTCAACAATCCCTTAAAGGAAAACTAGACAACTGTGAATCATGTCTCTGATTTTTTTTTTTCAGACCAAAGTGTGCAGTGTTAAAAAGTGCCCAGATTTTGCTATCTCAGGCCAATGGGAAGTGGTCACGCTGCATGAAGGAAAACAAAACTCAACCGTCTTTGATGCTGTCATGGTCTGCATTGGTTTTCTCACCAACCCTTTTCTACCACTGGATTCCTTTCCAGGTACAGCATTTTCTGCAAATTGACTTTCAATTATCTCAGGAGAACCATTGTGATATGTAGTCGGTCTGGGGATAAATTTCTACGTGCCTTCATTAAATAATTAAAGTTGTGAGATAACAGGTTTTTTCCAACCAGCACTTTTTTAAATCAGCAAGCTTTTCACTTTCAAACAACCTATGAGAACAAAAGGAGAACAGTGGAGAACTTACTAAACAGTTTCATGCTTCAGTAAGAGTCATTTAGCAACAGACAGCACTTGAAAAGTCTTCTGAAATGGGATTCTCAGACAAGTTGCTGCTTCAGCAGCAGTTACACAGTGCCAAAGCTGAGTTTAGAGGACACAAACATCCATCTGTAAATAAAGGGAAAGAGTAATTTGGATTTTTGCTGTTTGGTTTATATGAACCTAGCAATTGACCAGATCAAAGGTTTATGGCAGTAGGAAAACAGTCAACAGGGAAATGAATCTTGAGAGACAAGTTAAGACATCTTTTGGTCTCAGTTTCTTTACCTAGCTTTTGCAACTATGATTCATGATAATCTATGCCAAATTTCAATTGGATTTCAACTCAAGGGAATAGAATACACAATCCTTTGTTTTATTTCACCACAGTAAGCATTCAAAAAGTTAAAACTTAAGGAACCTTTTTTTCCAAATCATGTAGATATGGCCTCGAGTGATCTCAAGACTAATCTTAAATTAAGCTCATAAACTTCCAGTGGTCCTGGATCTACCACAGAGGTCACTCAAGCCAGGTCAGATTAGGATAAAACATATCCTGAAAACTACCCTAGAACTGAGTCATTGAGCTGAAAAGGACCAATTTTAGTTTCTTTCCTAATGTGGGAAATTTTTCTCCAAGATCCCCAAAAGAATCTCAACAGTCTCTGCTTGAACACACTCAACGATGAACTCTTGTCATTCACAAGGCAACACAACTCTTTGTGAGTTCTTGCCTGCAGAGCAATGCTCTGAGCAGCCACACCTTCCACTCTCAGGAAGGAGTACCTGGTATGGTATCATCCCAACAGTCTAGAAAGCTCTATGGCATGAAGAAAGCTGTGTTTATTCAGTATTAAGTATATTATACTAGGTACTAAGAATATAGAAGTAGATAAGATAATATATAACTAGTATTGAAAGCATAAATAGAGTTTTATGGGAGCCCAGTGTAGCACTCACAGTCTATCTATGACCTGGAGTGACACAATACTCATGTTCAGTAAACTCAAATATTTCCCATAGTCCTGGATCTGCCCCACAAGCAACATCACTAGTTGTGTCAGATGGAGATCAAGCCTACCCTGGAAGCACTAGGCCAATGAGCTCAGTTTGAGTAGAATGAACTTAGAACCCGGAAGGTATAAATTCTAAGCTACATAACTAGCTAGTATGTAATCTTTAGCCTCCCACTTCTCTTTTCTAAGGTTGATTTTCACTCTTAAATTGAGAAACTTGAATCACCTTACCCCAATCACATGTATCACAAATCAAACAAGGAGGGCTCTATGAGACTTGAAGTCCTTCTTAACGTCAATTTACCGGCACTACCAATTTGAAATTGCTGGCTATAAGATTGTCAAGGAGCCTTTGAGCTCTAAAATTCTGTGACTCTAGACTTGAAATGGTGGTCTTTCAGCCCCACTATCCCCTCCCTGCCTCTGCCTTATAGCAGACTTGCTTAGTCTGTATTTACTCCCTAGGGTGGTTGTTAACCATGACAAAACTTCAAACTCACTAAAAATGCTCAATAACATGGACCAAAAATGCTGGAAATAACTCCTAAGGAGGTGGTCCAAAGAGTCTTAATTGTGATAATAAGTATCACAGCTTAAATAAATGTATAATCTCTCAAAATAGCTATTTTGGCCTTCACAGTATTGTCAAAATCTCTCCATTTGCCTTTGATGTCTCAATGTGGTTTGACACCAACTGCCTAAGATATCTAGTTAGCACAGTGGAGGTAATCCTGGTGTCACTAACATGACCTTTTTTTCTCTTCACCAACTCTGGCTGACTCAGCAAACTCAGCCTGAGTTATAGTCAGTCACAAGGTAGACTTTGAGCAAATTTCTCTAACACATAAATCTTTATGAACACACACTACATTTTATTTATCTATTGCCCTCATATCATCTAGCACAGTGCCAAGCACATGGCAGATATCCCCAAAAAACTGCTGAATAGAGCACTAACTCATCCCTTTAACTCCTTTGCTCTTGCTTCTTGTTTGTGAAAAGCTGCACAGTATATATAAATGAAGTCTTAGTAAATATGTCTTTATGCCACAATATTTCAGCTTAGTAGTTAATCACTCAGTAAGTAAAACGAGTGGTCTATCTAGTAAGATAGAGTAATTACCCATCTTTATCCATAATTAAATGGAGTGATTAAATATTTTTAAAGCTTTTTATTCAGAGTTCAGAGTTTCTCAAACCTGAGGATATTAGTAATAGTAACGTAAGTCATGTTAAAAGGATGATATCAACTGAAAAGTATTTATGCGTCATTCACTGATCCTATAAATTCTCTATTTGGTTTTGTTTTTCCATAGGTATAAATACTTTTAAAGGCCAATACTTTCATAGCCGACAGTATAAACATCCAGACATATTTAAAGACAAGACAGTCCTTGTGGTTGGAATGGGAAATTCCGGCACAGACATTGCAATAGAGGCCAGTCATGTGGCAAAAAAGGTACCACTTTCAATGAGACTTAATGAAGAGGTGTAGCTTAAGATTCACATCTCAAGCAAACAGTGCTTGACACCATCATGATAAATGTTAAAGGAATAAAACAAGAGTTTTAAAGTATTTGTATTGGATGCTCATAAATTTTACTATGAAATCCAATTGTTGTCTTTCCTCCAAGATCAACTACTCTGACTTTTTTTTTGGACAGCATAGCTGATTGAACTTAGGGCCTTGCACTTGCGAGGCAGGCACTCTGCCACTTGAGCCATGCCCTCACTCCTTTTTGCTTTAGTTATTCTTCAGGTAGGGTCTTGTATTTTTGCGCATGGCTGGCTTCAGGCCAGGAATTCACTTGCTTATTCTTCCTACATAGCTGGGATCACAGGTGCATGCCACCATGCCTGGCTTATTAATTGAAATGGGGGTCTCACTAACTTTTTATCAGGTCTGGCCTCAAACCACAATCCTCCCCTTCTCGACCCCCTAGTAGCTGGTATTACAGGTATGTACCACTGCACCAAGCCAATATTTTTAGCAGTACTGGGGATTGAACTCAGGGCCTTGTGCTTTCTAGGCAAGCTCTCTATCACTTGAGCCATGCCCAAGTCTCTGATTTCATTTTTTCCTAACCACCCAACAAAAGCCACAGACCACATCTCTTCTTTTACTCAATCCTATAGGTCAGAAAATCCTGGTAATTTCTCCTTGTGAAGGTCTCCCATTTGCCCTGTTCTTTCCTTATTTATTGCCACCACCCTCATCAGGTCCATTCCACCTCACACAGAGTCTATTGAATTGCTCTTCTCATAGAACTGCAAAAATGGCCAATATTTACTGGGATTACTCCTTGTCAAGCACTGTACTAAACAGTTATGACTGCATTTCTTAACCATTTAAACAATACCTGAAAGTAGGTACTATTAGTACCCCTGAGTACAGATGAAGAAACTAAGGTTTAGAGAGGTTGAGCAAACTTCCTGAAGTCATACCACTAGCTGGTGGTAGAGCCAGTCCTCAAACACAAGTCTCTTTAACTCAAAGCTCCTGCTCCAAGTTGGACGTGGTGGCTCATGCTTACATTCCCAAATACTCCAGAGGCAGAGTTCACAGTTCAAGGACAGCACTGGCAAAAAGTTATTGTGAATCCATCTCAACAAATAAGCCAGGCATGTGGCACACACCTATAACATCACCTACACTTGAGGTGTGAGGATTAAGGTCTGAGGACAGCCCTGGGAAAAAAACCACAAGACCCTATCTGAAAAAATAATTAAAGCAAAAAAGGGCTAGAGGAATAGCTTAAATGGTAGAGCCTGCCTAGCAAGCTCAAGCCCCTGAGTTTAAACTCCAATATCAAAAAAAACCTCATGCTCCTAATTCTGCCCTTCATCCTGGAACCTCTATCCACATTCCATCCTTGCACTTTCAACAATCCATGCAAACCCTTAACCACCAACAGACAAGTCCTCTGAAAAGCCTGTTCTCACATGACACTTTCATATTGAAAACTAGTAACTCCCCTTACCTGATAAAGATAATAATAGGTTGCTGGTATATTAGCCCTGCATCACAGAGTTTAAAATCTCATTTAAACCTTTACTTGGTCCATCACATACCCTTACACGATCATCTGCAGTCAAAACGATCTACTCCATGGCCCTTTCCAGGTCTTTGTTTCTTTTTTGCCCACCTCATCCCCCTCCCTTCCATGGTGACCTTTCCCTTCTATTGCAGCCAATACATTTCCAGCTATCTCACCCCAACACAAAGTGATCTCTCCTTTTCAGGATTTGTGTATTATCATAATTTACACTCTTCAGTTGGCATGCTTTGGTTCTTAGTATTGTTAATTACCTTTTATAGTATATGTGTTCTTTACAACCATGCTACAGACTCATCAAGAGCCACTCAGCAAACTAGTATATATGAGTTGTTGACTTTGATGTGCCAAACATTGTGTGAGACTGAAGACACACAACAACAATATTAAGATCCCCACTCTCATGGAACATATAATTGTGGAAAAACCAGATGGCAAGTAAATAAGTGTAAATAATTAGACCAATAATTGAAAGAGTGAAAATAGTTGTGAAGAAAAAGGATTGGAGTGTAACTTTGATATTCCCTTCTGGAAATTAAAAAAAAAAAAAAGGACTTGATGGCTGATTCATTAATCAATATACTGATTGATTGATTGATTTGAAGACAATCAGCAATTTGGTGGCATTATTCTGAAAAAAGAGAAAGGAGCTCCTGAGATGAAAATCAACACAGCTCCATCCACTATGATCACCACACACACATGGGTAACATATAATTTTCATTTCTCTAATCATTTGGAAATTTCTTCAATAAGAAAACATATTCTGGCATACATCTTATCATTTCTATACCAATGAAGAAGCTCCCCTTAGCTTAGAACATAGTTCTTATCTACCAAAATGTCATATCTGATTCTGCATTATAACAGAGAGACAGGTTCAGTGCAAAGAGCCAAATAGCTCGTGTGAGAAGCACTGATGGGCCTGAGCTGCTTACTACCACATTTCCAGTGTGCTGTATACTGCTCCATGGTGTTATAAGGTCAAACCAAAATATTGACTCTGTGTCTGTGGCCATCATGCCCCAGTATGGTAGGAGAAAAAGCAATCTGCTAAAGTTAACTGTTTTGTATCAGCAAAGTAACAGATGGCTGACTAAATTTTTTTCTTTTTAAACAGTTATACAGGAAATACCTTGTTGTATAGGTACCAAAAAAAAAAAACCATATTAGCTCAATGAATTCAGATGCTGATAAACTCAGTCAATCTAACTTAACAAAAAAAGAAAAAAAGATATAAAATAATTGTTATGATGAATTTTACTGTCAGTCAGTGGTTTGCATTGAAATTATCTTTGTAGACAACTTCCAATTTCTACCATGCCCTGTCCTTACTTCCTTCTATTAATAGTTAGAACACAAAATTGCAATCACCTGTTCATTGTCTTCTTCCATAAGACAAATTTCCCTATGGCTTGCCACAGTATTTCAATCCTGGAAGTGTTCAAGAATATGTCCTAAGGCATTTAATACTCTACATCTTCAAATTATTATTCCAAAACAATAACTTTTAAAATAGTAGTCAAAATAAAGAAGACTATCTTGTCAGGTATGTATTTTGAGAGTGGCAGATGTAGCAATGGCTTTCAGTTCATGACACCTCTCACATCTCTTTGATTGCTTCCAGGTATTCCTCAGCACCACTGGAGGGGCATGGGTAATCAGCCGAGTCAATGACTCAGGATACCCATGGGACATGGTGTTCACAACACGATTTCAGAACATGGTCAGAAATTTTCTCCCAACTCCAATTGTGACCTGGTTGATAGCAAGAAAGATGAATAGCTGGTTCAATCATACAAATTATGGCTTAGTACCAGAAGACAAGTAAGTATAACATATCTACCAAAGGCACATACAAACCAGGTAATAACATGGCAATCTGATTGAATATAAAATATTCTCATACAAATTTACTTGATAATGACAGCTAGCTGTTCTTAAGTGCTCAGTAAATGAAGTTATGTGATTCACCTTGCCAACAACTCTTTAAGGTAAACATTATTATAATCTCCCATTCATTGTGGGAAAACAGAAGCTTATCAAAATTTAGTCACTTCCCCTAGCTCCTTTAGTAGTAAGCTCTGTGACCCTGGCAAGTTACTTAGGCCTCTGCTGCAGCAACAAAAGACAAGGATTTGTCCATAATTTTGTTGACAAAAGCAACACATTCATGTTATTTCATTGTGCTGGAAAAAAGGAATCCTATAGTTTCCTTTCACCATCTTTCTAATGGAAGTGGCTTCTTGACTTTGTCAAGATGACCTTGATTTCAGTCTGTCCCTTAAGTTACAACCTAAGAATTACTTCATCAATAAAAAACCAAAAGTGTTACTTCCTCCTTCATTAGGCATATGGAGGAAAACCCATTACCAGGTAACACTGCAGCCTGGGGATCTACCCAGGTCTCCCTCTAGACACCACTATGGACCAGTGGCCCCAGGCCACCACTGCGGACATGCAGACCTCTCTCCATTACTTCCTTTTTTTAACCTTTATTTTTTTTTATTGTTTTTATATTTATTCATATGTGTATACATTGTTTGGGCCACCTCTCTCCTCTACTACCAGCCCCACTCCCTCTTCCCCTCACCCCCAACCCCTTTGCTTCCAGGAAGAACCTGTTCCGCCCTCTTGTTCTCCAATTTTGTTGAAGAGAAAACATAAGAGATAATAAGAAAGACATAGCATTTTTGCTAGTTAGAGCTACAAATAACTATAGAGAGATTCCTAGTGTTGCTTCCATGCACATGTGAATTACAACCATATACTTCTACTTTCCTCTCACCACTTCTGTCTATTGTCCTCACTTTTTTCCTTATTTCTCTTCTCTCTTCTACCTCCAGGCTTAAGGGCATTGACTCTCCCACTATAACCTTTTCTAAGTTTTATCTAGCCTAGATAATGGCTCACAGTAATGAAGAATTAAAATCCCTTCCCTCTTTGACATAGTTAATCCTTTATCACTTCCAAAGTTTATTTTTTTGACAGATACTACCTATGAATTACAAAATTTCTCATTTATCAGTTCATATGTGTATTATCTTTTGTCATATACAAATTAAAAACATAGACAAACACCTTTGTCTTTCCTACAAAGTTATATTTATATGAATACTATTTCATATACTCTGTCCTTTTACAAATATCCTAAGGATGCAATCGTTAATATCCCTACTATATAGATGAATAGAAGGAAGTCCACAAGGATTATAAGACTTGACCAAGCTCTGTAAAGTATAAATAGTTGGAAAAGAAAACACTGTTTTATCTGCTTTAACACACCATCTCTTCCTTTCTTCCTTCCTTCCATACAGGCATGGGCCACCATGCCTGGCTTCTTTCTATGCATTCACCATAACCAAAAATGGCTTACCTTATAAAAACATCAACTCACAAAGTAGCAAGTTTTGTGATCCCAAAAGTATAGCCAGAAAATTATTCTGTCCTTGTTCCTTTTTGAAAATATATACATTTTCCTTATACAATTGCTTTCTAGGATGAGGGATTAGATAGTTTCCAGCAGTTCTGATCAGATAGGGAAGTACTGGTCTCCCTTGTAGACCTTCAGCATGAATCTATCTCTCAAAAGACAGTAATAGATGAATGCTGAAAATCAGCAAGAGAAACAGAAATGAGAGAAAGCTCTAGTTTCCTCCTCAGCTTCCAAATTCTACTATTTTATAGCCCTTGGGCATTATGAGTCCCTTCTCTCAGAGGTAACTTCTCCCAAGACTGGCAACTCTTGTCCCACACCAAGAAAAGAAGGGAAAAGAGGAGAGAAGGCTGACTGAATCATTCACCAGCAGGTCTCTTCCCTATCCATGTTTTTGTTCAGGACTCAGTTGAGAGAGCCTGTGCTAAACAGTGAGCTCCCTGGATATATTATTACTGGGAAAGTGTTGATCAAGCCAAGCATAAAGGAGGTGAAGGAAAAGTCTGTCATATTCAACAATACCCCAAAGGAAGAGCCCATTGATATCATTGTCTTTGCCACTGGATATACCATTGCTTTCCCCTTCCTCGATGAATCTGTTCTGAAAGTTGAAGATGAACAAGCATCGCTATACAAGTATATATTTCCCCCACATCTGCAAAAACCAACTCTGGCTGTGATTGGCCTTGTCAAACCTTTGGGCTCCATGATACCCACAGGAGAAACACAAGCTCGATGGGTTGTTCAAGTCCTAAAAGGTAAGCACATGAGAAATAACAGGGCATATATTTTTGTATGCCATGTGGTTTTTGGATACTGGAAATTCGAGACTATCACCTAATTCCTCTTTTGAGCAACAGAATCTTTAAAAAGCAGGATCCATTCAATTGTCCACTGAATTATCCTATTATACTGACTTGTGCTGTCACCAACACAAATGATAAATTAGTGATCAAAAAATTATAAGCAGGCCAGGTGTGGTGGCCCATGTCCTTAATCCTAGCACTTGAGAGACTGAGGCAGACGAATCATCGAGTTTGAGGCCAACCTGGGCTACACAGCAAATTCCAGGCCAGCCTGGATTATATAGAAAGATTCTGCTCAAAAAAAAAAAAGCCAAGCACAAGCCTGTAATCCAAGCTATTTGGGAGGTCAAGAGGATCCCCAGCCAGGCAAAGTTAACACAAGACTCTATCTAGAAAACAAACTAAAAGCAAAGGAACTGAGGGCATAGCTCAAATGATAGAGTGCTTGCCTCACAAAGATGAGGCCCTGAGTTCACACCCTAGTCCTGATATATATATATATATCAAGAATATATACACATTCTTGCTACTTTGACTAAATCAGCTGGTTTATTCAGTTAGCATAGTTGCTTCTCTTTTCAGTTGGTGGCATTATTGCCAAGAACACGGATGAGTAGCAGGGTACTAGAAATGAAAGATGAGCAGTACAAAAGCACCTAGATCTGAAGTTAAATTGTATTTTTGTTTGTGTTATAGGTGTGAGCATGTTACCACCACCAAGTGTCATGATAAAGGACGTTAATGAAAAAAAAGAAAACAAGCACAGTGGGTGAGTGAACGACTTAGGCATCCTTTCTGAATCATAACTGAAATCAGTAAAACAACAGCAGAGAGGTGAGAGGTATATGGATAAAAGCGTATCATGTGAGACTTACAGGAAAAAATTGGAGAGCCTGTTTAAGGACAAAGGCAGTAAAAGAAAATCTAGAAGTTTTAATATTCCCAGAACTATCACTACAGACCATAGTCATCTAGCATGACCTGGAGTTTGGTTGTGATTGAGTACAAATGACCCTTACTTCCATCCATCCATCCATCCATCCATCCATCACATACATTATTCCATTCCTGACCTGCAATCAAAAGCAAACAGTTATGCTGGCTGAAAGCGTCTGTTCATTTACTCATTCAACAGGTCTTTGTCAGCCCTGCTGTTTTCATTCAGGTTGCTGCTCTAAAGTAGGAGTCAGCTAACCGTGGTCTGTGGGCTAAATCCACTGATGGGGTTTTTGCTTTTCATTTTGCAATACATGAAAATTAGATGAAATTCAAACCAAAGTAGTCATAAACAAAATTTTGTGGTAATGTAGCCATATTCATTCCTTGTCTATTGTCAACACTGCTCTGGTGTTACCATAGAAGAGTCAAGTAGTAGAGACAGAAACTCTATTAGGTCCTCTGAGACTATACTATTTACCAGTTGGCCTTTTGCAAAATATGTTTCTTGGTTCCTGTCTAGAGAAGTTTCCACATGTGCTTTGCTCTGTGGCTGCCACTCACGAGTCAGGGATAAGAGAGAAGGGAGATGAACAGCGAAGAAGAAGTTTCATGTTTCATGGCCACCCAATCTGGCCCCCCAATCAACCAACATACCTCTAACTTTATATGCTTTATTTTTTTACCTGTTTTTCTGTTTGGGGCTTTGATATAAATTTTCATTTAAATAACAAAGAGGTTCTGTGGCAGAAAAATCTTTTTAAATCACTGCATTTAAGGAACTTATCACTACTCTCATTCAAATATCCTCAGAGTTCAAGTGTTGATCTATCCTTGTCATAGTGCCAAATTCTAAAACAAGAAAAGCATTTTAGATGTCTCTTCTTTACCCTTAAACTGCAATATGGTTTTATTTTTTTATGGAACTCTAGTCTAATAGATGAAGAATTAAAACTATTACAAATGTAAAAATCTTGTCTTGAAGATGAGTTGACAATTCTAAGGACTAATACTAGTAGTACAGAAAATTTCACTGTATGTATTTTTGTGGTTCTTCAAATTATACAAATGAAGTAATAATTTAGCTTTAAGAAATCGAGTGAGACCATTAGATAGCTATGGACATAAAGGGGAGAACCAGAATCATTCCAAATATTGCAACAGTATTTGTTTGCTTTGAACAAATGTTCAAAGTTTATTTTATTCTAAGATAACCATTATGTTATCTCTTTGCTTCCCTCAATCTTTCTTTTATAAAGGTTTGGCTTGTGCTACTGCAATGCTTTACAAACAGATTATATTAAATACATAGATGATCTCCTGACCTCCATCAATGCAAAACCCAATTTGTTCTCTATGCTCCTGATGGACCCACGCCTGGCTTTGACCCTCTTCTTTGGCCCGTGCTCATCATACCAGTTCCGCCTGACTGGCACAGGAAAATGGGAAGGAGCCAGAAAGGCCATCATGACGCAGTGGGACAGAACACTGAATGTCACCAAAACTCGGATTGTACAAGAATCCCCATCGCCCTTTGAAAATTTGCTTAAACTCTTTAGCTGTCTGGCTTTGCTGGTAGCTGTTTTCTTGATTTTCTTATAAGTACCAGATCATTTAGATGGCTTTTCAAATGTACAGAGTACAATGCTCTGACTCCTTTATTACAGCAACACTGCCTTCACAGTTATAAACCATGTTCAGATAGTGAAGTCCAACCCTTCCTCCCCAGGTGACCCCAGTCTACCCCTGGTACTCCTGAGCCTTTCCCAGTACCATTATGTCTAATACTAGAGGATGATGACTGAAGACTCTGTGCACTTGAAGTGTTGAGAGCTTCCAGGTCCATTTTAGGAGCAGCACTGTCCTTGGCAGCACTGTGAGCAGTCATAACTCATTCCCATAAAAACTATTTTTACCAATCTTAACTAAACCTCCCTACCTCTTAGAAGATTGATTTGCACTAAAATGGTTCTCCTATGGTATTAGCTGACTAAAAATAAAAAGGAAGAAAAACCTAGGAGCTGATTGTTTCAAGTGGTCTTTGTTCTCTTTTTATGGGTTGGGAAAAAAAGAAGCATATAAAAGGATGGGCAGTTCAAGTTGTTAGCTTGAGGTTTTCCAAAGGAATGTACTTGCCTGGGAAAGCTCATTCCCCAGAACCTTGTCTATAATAAAACCAATGCTCCATCTGGTATTATACTAAAGACTCAAATCACATTTACTCCACAGAAACAACTACCTTGGCTGGGGATATAGCTCAGTGGTACAGCATTTGCTTAACATGCCCTGAGTTGGATCCCCAGGAGAAGAAGAAGGAAGGAAGGAAGGAAGGAAGGAAGGAAGGAAGGAAGGAAAAACTAGAGCCAGCCCACCTCACAGTTACATCTGATGAAGATGCCATGTACCAGAGGAAATGAGCCCTCAGTTTACCTGGTTAATGGGCTTAGATAGAAAACCTCACCTCAAAATAGGCCCATGGATTGAGTTGGGGAGATTAAGAAACTATGGAGTCAGGTAAGATTGAGCTCTGGAGGTCAACACAGCTACAGATACATCACTTCTCCTCCACTTTTGTCTGCTCCACTACATCCCCAGTATTATTTCACTTTTCAACACTCCTCCTGGCCTATTTCACTTTATAGCATAGAAATTTATAATGAAAAATTATCCCACAAAATTCAGTCTAGATTACTTTTGGAACTGCTTTTCTCTCCATTGAAGCACAGCTGACATTTTATCACTCTTCATGAAGCTGCTGGCAGTTGGGGTGGGGATTGATGCCCAATGTGAGACAAGGCCAGGGAGACACCCAGGCCACATTGGCAAACCACAGGATGAAAGGTGAGCTGAATCTTATCTACTGATCTAGGAGACTGAATCTACAAATCAACAGTGGCCAGAATATCTAACAGAACTCTGACCTATAACAGTGTCGCAGTCAGCTCAGAGCAGCCAGGACTTGGGCAATGAGTACCAGTTCTTCTAATTTTTGCTCCAGCTTCCAATTCTCAACCAACCAAAGAAAACCAAATAAGGTCCCCATGCCAGTCTTATATGATGTCTTGCTCTTTGGCCGAGTTCCATCTTCCCCATACAAACAACCTCCAGTGGGAGTGTACTTGAAACCTTCTCTTTTTTTTTGCTTTCAAAAATTTTAAAACAACAATAATTCCAGCTACTTAGGGGTGGGGGGAGCAGAGATTGGGAGAACTGCAGCTCAATGCTAGCCCAGAAAAAAAGTTAGTGAGACCCCACTTCAACAAACAACCTGGACATGGCATCACACACACACATCTGTAATTCCAGCTGCATGAGAGCCACAGGTAGGAGAACTGTAGTACAAGGGCTTGTCTGGACAATAGTGAAATTCCTCCTGAAGAATAAACTAAAAGCAAAAAGGTGGGAGCATGGCTCAAGTGGTATAGTGCCTGCCTAGCAAGTATGAGGCCATGAATTCAAAACTCTAGTACCACCAAAACACAAAAACAATAACAAAAAATCTCCCTTGCCTTCCTTGAATCTAGGCCAAACATGAGTGGTAGTGGTTAAATCACTTTCTATAACAAGCTCCCTCTTCATTTGCTTCAACAATATAAAACACACATCCTGTAAACTGGTAATGCACCTAAAGACTGAGGTGGTAATGATATTCTGCACATTTGTACTACTAGAAAATAAATAATGTGCCAACCATTTTCTCATTTAATCATCATAAGAAATTTATGGTTGGAGTGCAACTGCACTACATAATTAACAAGAAAACTCAGACAAGGGGATGCCAGTTGACTTGTGCAAGATAGCAAAGGTAACCAGTGGTTGGGTAAGGGCTATGTCTCCAAAACATACATCTGTGGATTTTACCATTTAGGCCTGTGGTTTCCAGTGTTCAAATCACTTCAAAAGTCTTAATCGCAGAAAAGAGAAAAATAGAGGGGATGAACCAATTTATAATGTATATATGAAACTTCCAGTATAGCTATCTTAAGCAAACAAAAATGTCTTTTTTTCAAAAATGGAGAAAAGGAAGGTAAAACAGGTCCTGTCTGAGGGTTGGTTCCAGTGGGAAAGGGGAGGATATAAGGAAAGGATATAGGGGGAGTAATGTGGTAGAAATATTATGTACTCATGTATGCAAATGGAAAAATAAGACCTGTTGAAACTATTCCAGGAATGGGGGAAGGGAGAGGGGATAAAGGAGAATGATGGAGAGGGTGAATTTAACCATGACATATTGTAAAAACTTTTGTAACTGTCACAGTGTACCTTCAGTACAACAATAATATGGTAATAAAAATGTAAAAAGAAAAGTCTTAATAGCAAAAGTCATTTAACAAGAATATTCTTCCTTAAAAGTATCTATATGTCTCTCTCCCTTTCTCACACTCTATAAGTGCGTATGGATCAGTCTGTCTGCCTGTCTCTCTATCAATGTATAACTTTACTATTGTATCTGGGATTTCGTATCTTTCCCTTTATATACACCTATTTTTTTCTGAATAACATGCATCTTTTGCCTGTTTATCCCTCCCTTGCTTTTCCAACTATACCTATACTAAGCCTACTTTATGACCATAATGGAAAACAAACTCAAAAGAAAGAAAGGTTTCTAATCCTTACTCTAGAAATCACTCCATTCACCATACTGGGAAAAATTACCACTTTTCTCATCCAGAAAACAAAACACAGGACTGGAGTTGTAACTCAATGGTAAAATGCTTGACTAGCATGCACAAGGTCCAAGATTCAATCCCCAGTACTAAGAAAAAATTAATAAATAATTACAGAAAGAAGAAAACACAACAACTTCCCAGAAATCCAACAAAAGAGGAAGTATACAGAGCACTTTAGCTTTGCTCACTTCCTTTCTTGTACACCTTTTAAGTCAGAAGAACTTCTAAGGCATTTCATCTCCAAAGGTAATTTTATATTTTCTGCAATTTTTTCTAAAGCATATAAACAGCACCCCCTTCTGGACTAGTCTTAAGGAGAGATGCCTATTCCCTATACCAGTGCTCTGTATCTTTCAATATTCCCTATTGTGGACGGATGCTTAGTTACTTGCTGTGTGACACTGACCCAGTCACTTGTCCTAACATAGTTTTCCCTCCTGAAACATGGAAACTATATTATATACCACCTCACCAGGCTTCAGGGCTGACTTAATCCAGTGACTTTGATGCCATTTCTCCACAATTCCCTTGGATCTACCCTTATCCCTAGACCAGCATAATTCTCAGCATGTTAAGAGAACTACAATCTATGAAGAAAGAAGTACTCCCAGAACCCTTCCAGAATGAGAATCTGGCAAACAAGTTCTTATATCAAAAGTCTGTTTATCCCTTCTTCCTGGTCACATGGCCATTTAGCCACCAACTACATTTCCCAGACTTCCTTGCACTAGTGTGGCCATGTGATCATTTTCTTGCAAACAGAATATGAATGGAACTAATATGTGCACTATCTCGCCCACTTATGCTTACTCTGGACTCCTTTACTTTCCCTTTCCTGGAAACTATATCACGGTCATAGCAGCAACCCAGCTTCAACCATGCAGAAAAGGACAAAGTCCTGACAGAAAGCAGAGCAATGAGATAGAAGGAACAAGTATCCCTGAACAGCCCAGGCCACAGAGTTGCTTTACCAGACTAGATAGTCAAGTTGTTACATGACAGAGAAATAAAGTTTTGTCTTATTTGGCCCATTGTATTGGTGGTGGGGGGGTCCTCTTTTTTCATATCCACTCCACTTTAACCACACACTCACACCCATGTGTGTGTGTGTGTGTGTGTGTGTGTGTGTGTGTGTGTGTATTCAGTAAGACTGTACATATGATAGATTTATTACATATGGTTTTGACCAACCATGGTCAAAAAATAATTTTTTTAAGAATCAATGAAAAGAAAGTAATGTGAGTTAATATGATCAAAGTACTTCATGCCTATGTATGAAAATAGAAACCTGTTAAAAACTGTTTAAAAGTAGCTAAATGGCAGGAGTCACCACATATCTATCAATATTAACTCTGAATGTCAGTGAATTCAATTCCCCTATCAAAAGACAACTTTTGGCAAACTGGATTAAAAAGGAAGATCTGACAATCTGTTGTTTACAAGAGACCCATCTTATTGACAGAAATAAACACTGGTGGCTTCAGATCAAAGGCTGGAAGATTTATCAAGCCAATGGCCTCTGAAAACAGGCAGGAATATATCAATACTCATATCAGACAAAGTAGTCTTCAAATTTACATTGATCAAATGAGACAAAGAAGGACACTTCATACTAAGGAAAGGAGTAATACATCAAAAGGAAATAATAACTTTCAACCTATATGCACCCAATGTCAGTGCACCCAATTTTATCAAACATATACTAAAGGACTCCAACACAGTGGTAGTGGGAGACTTTAATACTCCTCTATCAGCAACAGATAGGCCACCCAAACAAAAAAATCAACAAAGAAATCCTAGAACTAAATGACACCATAGATCAAATGGACCTAACTGATGTCTACAGAATATTTCATCTGACAACAGCACAATATACATTCTTCTCAGCAGCCCATGGAACTTTCTCCAAAATAGATCATATCTTAGGGCACAAAGCAAGCCTCATCAAATATAAGAAAACAAAAATAACCCCCTACATCTATCTGATCCCTAGAATGCAAAAAAAGACTAGAACTCAACAACAAAAACAACAGCAGAAAATATGCAAATAATTGGAGGCTGAATAATATGTTGTTCAATGATCAGTGGGTCATAGAAGAGATAAAAGAGGAAATCAAAAAGTTCCTGGAATCTAATGAAAATGAAAACACAACCTATCAGAATCTATGGAACACAGAAAAGGCAACCCTAAAAGGAAAGTTAATAGCCATGAGTGCATATACTAAAAGGACAGAAAGATCTCAAATAAACAACCTAATGCTACATCCCAAGCTCCTAGAAACACAAGAACAAACAAAACCCAAAACAAGCAGAAGAGAAATAATAAAAATAAGGGCCAAAATTTATGAATTAGAGACCAAAAAAAAAAAAAAAACCGTACAAGAATCAATGAAACAAAAAGCTGGTTCTTTGAAAAAATAAACAAGATTGACAAGCCCCTGGCAAATCTGACTAAAATAAGAAGGGAAAAGACCCAAATCAGTAAAATTAGAAGTGAAAAAGGGGAGATAACAACAAACACCAAGGAAATCCGGGGAATCATCAGAGACTACTTTGAAAACCTATATTCCAATACCTTGGAAACTCTTTTAAAAAATGGACAAATTTCTAGATACTTATGACCATACAAAACTGAACCAAGAGGATATTCACCACCTAAACAGATCTATAACATGAAATGAAACTGAAGCAGCAATAAAGAGTCTCCCAAAAAAGAAAAGTCCAAGACCTGATAGATTCTCTGTGAATTCTATCAGACCTTTAAAGAAGAACTAACAGCCACACTCCTTTTTTTTTTCCTTTTATTATTCATATGTGCATACAAGGCTTGGGTCATTTCTCCCCCCTGCCCCCACCCCCTCCCTTACCACCCACTCTGCCCCCTCCCTCTCCCCCCCCACCCCCTCAATACCCAGCAGAAACTATTTTGCCCTTATTTCTAATTTTGTTGTAGAGAGAGTATAAGCAAATAATAGAGGAACAAGGGTTTTTGCTGGTTGAGATAAGGATAGCTATACAGGGCATTGACTCACATTGATTTCCTGTGCATGTGTGTTACCTTCTAGGTTAATTCTTTTTGATCTAACCTTTTCTCTAGCTCCTGTTTCCCTTTTCCTATTGATAGCCACACTCCTTAAACTTTTCCATGAAATGGAAAGGGAAGAAATACTGCCTAACTCATTCTATGAAGTCAGTATTACACTTATCCCAAAACCAGACAAAGGTACATCCAAAAAGGAGAACTACAGGCCAATCTCTTTAATGAACATTGATGCAAAAACCCTCAATAAAATAATGGCAAACTAAATCCAACAACATATCAGAAATATCATTCACCATGACCAAGTTGGCTTCATCCCAGGAATGCAGGGATGGTTCAATATACAGTAATCAATAAATATAATACAGCACATTAAA